CTTTAAAAAAAAAAAAAAAGACTGATGATTCACTGACCTGTACACCTGAAACAAATAATACATCATATGTTAATAAAAATTAAAAACAAAACAAAACAAAAAAATAAGTACATTATTCTCATGAACAACACCCACTCCTCTTAAAAGACTTCACTCAAGCATCACTTCCTCTGTGTACACTTTCCTTGACATCCTCTTTTATCAGAATTGACCCCTCCCTATTCTGTGCTCCCACTTGCCCCCCTAACGTTGCCTCTTTGAAGCTATGTTGCATATATTGGTGTCCATTTCTGCCCCTTCTCTAGACCTGCCTGTCCAAAATGGAAGCCACTAGTCACAAGTGCTACTGAGCATTTGCAGTGTGTCCAGTCCAAATTGAGATGTCCTGTATTAAAATACACACCAGACTTTGAAGTCTTAGTATGAAAAATGGAGTGTAAAATGTCTCATTAATAATCTTTATATTGACTTATGTTGAATTGATAACATTCTGTATATTAGGTTAAATAAAATATTAAATTTCTTTTTTAACTTTTTAAATTTGACTGTTAGAAAACTTAACTTTGTATGTGGCTCATATTCATATCTTTACTGGATACCACAGTTTTAGACTGTGAATTTCCTTTTTTTTTTTGACTGTGAATTTCTTGAGGAAAGGTCTGTGTCTTACTTTCTTTCTATTTCTAGGACCCGGAACAGGGTCCTATACCCAGTAAATGTTCATTAATAATCTGTTGAACAAACATATGTCTTCGTTTAACATAGAGTCCCAGATCTTCTGGCCCCAGTGATAAGACCTGAAATTTGGCAGGAAGACCCCAGTGAAGGAACTCATCACAGTGAAGGTTGGGTGAGGGGAGGCATTTTGGCTGTCTCTGTGCAGAATCCATATTCTTCAAGTCAAGAGACCAGTTAACATAACAAAAAGCAAAACAGGGGGCCCCTGGGTGGCTCAGTCAGTTAAACGTCTGCCTTCGGCTCAGGTCATGGTCCCATGTCCCAGGATCGAGCCCTGCATCGCATTGGGCTCCCTGCTCGGCGGGGAGTCTGCTTCTCCCTCTGCCCCAACCCCCTGCTCAGGCTCTCTCTCACTCGCTCGCTTTCTCTCATAAATAAATAAAATATAAAAAAGAAAAGCGCAAAACTGAAAGGATGGTGTGAGCTAATGGGATAGCTGGAGTGGGGAAGTAGTAAGCCTGGCATATGGTTAGTAGAAAGCTTCAACAGCTTCCCCATTTGACTTCCGAAGAAAGAGCCAATTCCCTGGAAGAGTTACAGTAGGAGCTCTGGGAACTTAACTGTTCCAAATCCCCTCTCTGCTCCTCTATATCCTAATGGCTTTTTGTGGCTGTTCATCCAAGGGCATTGTCGGGCCACAAGAGGAAGGTCAAGAGCATCAGGGAATCAACACACTTGTCAGAAGTAGCCCTCTACCAATGATGCCTGGGAATTGATGGATAAATAGGACAATTTCCTCACCTTTCGAATGAGACACTCTGGGGCTTGTTTACCTCTCCCACAGTGGTAACTTGCTCATCAACATCCCCTGAACTGGCTTCTTCCCTTTCCTGTTTTATATTCCTCTTCCCCCAGCTGTGCTTCTTGGGATCACCTCCCAACACTGCTGATACTCAAGTCCTTGTTCTGACACTCAACATCTGATTCCAGAGGATGCAAACGAGGGCAGGGGGGAATCGAGGTACTTGATGTCTCACTGGGACCATATTTAGGCTCATCTCATATCCCTCTTTGCATTGAACCCCGCATTTACTCTTGGTAATCACCTCCATGCCCAAACTTTCACGCCACACCACCACCGCACATCCTTGTTCCTTTCCACAGAAATCCAAGACCATCGACTTGGCGTTCAGACCTCCACACCTGGTACCGACTCCCCATCGTGCCTCTCTCCTGTTCCACTCCATCCCCGTGTGTGTGTTTCAGCTACACTGTTCTACTCTCCACTCGTCAGTATGCCCTTCAGAAGTTCTTACCTCCTTGCTTCTACACAAACGTTTCCTTCCCTATGCCCCAAATGGCTTTTGAAAGGTTTACCTCCATTACCACCCAAACATCATTCACACTGCTGAAAAGAATTTTGTTTCCAACTGCTTGACCTCTTCCCCATTCTCAGAGTTGTAAGTGAAGATGTGGATTTTAGTTTCAATTCCAGTTGCTGAGGTTTATATGGAGTACGTGAACATTAAATTAGAATATTCTAAGAAAATCCTTTGTGCAGGCACTTTGAAAGAATTTCACTGACAACATGAATAATATTTCTACCTTGCAAATTCAGATTTATGTATGTGGCATTTTATAGACATGGAGCTTAGTTCTATTTTTTTGGCTTCCTGCTGAGAATATGGTAAACACAATAAAGCCTCCCTAATCATTTAATTCCTCTTTCATGAAATCTTAGCCTTGGGGATTTACTTTTTTGTATCTCTTTGATAACCTTGAGGATATTAGATCATCAAAATGAAAATGGTTGAGATGTGTGAGGGTTTTTTTTTTTTGAGAGAGAGATGTGTGAGTTTTAAAATCAGTACCTCACTGAACACTGGGATGGAGGGCCAGAAAAAAAAATGCTTCTTGATATGCATATTATTTGCTACAAAACAAAACAAATTCACAAACATATCCTTGAAATCAGAGAAAACAGAATACTTGAAGAGTTTCTAGAGAACAAGGGATGGTAATTTGAAATGCATCGTATTTCACCCTAGTTAAGCCAAGAAGCGTGATAGGGTGATTAAGAGCATGGGTTCTAGCTTGGCTCGAAATCCTGGCCCCATCACTTACTAGCTATGTGATCTTGGGCAAGTGCAGAACCTTAATCTTCAGTCTTGTCACCTATAAGATGGGTGTAATGATAAACCCTACCTCCCAGGGCTATTGGGAGGGTAGGCAAATTAATATGTATATTATTTAACTTTAGTTTATATATATATATATACATATATATATATACAGCTCTCTTAACAGCATATTATAGGTACCTCCATAAGCGTGATTATAATTATTGTCATTATATGATGTCTTTTTTTTTTTTTAAGATTTTATATATGATGTCTTCAATAGTTACTTTATTTAGTGGTTATACTTTCTTGCTTGAGGGAACTTGAATGTTTTTTTTTAAAGGCTTGTCTCGTCTTGACTCCTATTTTCTCTACAGTCTTTAGTTTCTCATTTGAAAATTCTTCTATCACATTTTTTTTTTCCTTTTTGAGTCACCCACTTCCTGCATTTTAATAGTGGGGCTGCTTTTCCAACAACTATTTATGTGGAGTCACCAATATGCCAGGCAAGGTTATGCTATGCTGAATACTTTATTTATATATTTTATGTAAACATAATTTGCTTTGTAGGCACAATGTAACAAAAGCTCTAAAGCCACAAATACGTTAGACAATGTTTCAGTTCACTCCAATCAAGTTTAAATGACAGAGAAGCCTTCACAGTTCCTTTAAGGCAAACTGAGACTTTCCTTATACTTTTTTCAGAAAACCAGTCACGTGACAGGAAGAAGGTGCTTAAAACGAGAGTGCATTAAACGGCTAATTTTGGCATTTTCTTTTCTTCTGTTCTTCATGGCATAATGATAGTCAAACTCTAGTTTTCTCTTCTCACCCTGTATTCTGGAGTGACAAAAGGGTTTTCTTTAACCAACTGCCATTATATATGATGACTGTATTAATTTTGCTAGTTGAAAAACAGATTTGGGGAAGCATGATTTTTTTAACGCCTCTCCTCTGGACAAGAACAAAGGCCATTTGGATTCTGCACATAGAGCTCCCACTCCCCTCGCAGAGGACAGCCCTGATTTGGCCAATGGCTCTTTGTTACCCCAGCCCTAGAAAATGCCATTTCTGTCTAGCTCACCAGGAATGTCACTTGGGTAGTGGTTCTTCTTAAAACCTCATTGTCAGCTTGGTTATGGGAGAAATATGACCAAGAATACAGCATTTAGTGAAAGTGTTGGGCGGGGGGCTGTGACAAACCTCCACATTATCTTTCTAAATGGCCCAGAAATGAAATATTGGTGAGTCCTGGGGTATGAAGAGAAGATGATGTGAGTATCTTCTTCTGAGATACTCTCATCTCTTTGTTCATCAGATGGAAGCACCCTTTCTTGTCCCCATATTTTACATGTACATTCACAATGAGGAGAAACTCCCTTCAGATAAATATTTGGCATAAATAAGTCACCATCACAAGCTTAGTGCAGGAAAAAAGAACATGATTAATGAGGTGATTGTTCTTATAAAAGGACTTTGGAAATAAAAAGGTAATTGCTGGAATGCACTCCTTCCCATCGTTTGGGGAAAGAGTTGGGTCTACCCTAAGGCTCACTGGTGGAGAGATGGGGCAATCAGGGAGCCCTCCAAGGTGTTCCAGAAGGCAAAGTGACTTGGGGTGCTAATCATGTGAGCTCCTTGTGTCTCCAGCTCTGTTTTTGAGTGAAGGAATCACCATTTGAGCCAAAAGGAGTGGGAGGAGGGAATAAGGAGCCCCCTTGTGGAGACACTGAGCCTCTCTCTCGTCCTTCAGGGGAACTGTTCACCTCAAGACATAGCAAGTATGGTGGGCGGGGTGTGGGGTTTCTTAAGAGTTTAGGAGCTGGAAAATTAGACAGTGGTGTATAATCAAGTAGTTTGGTCCCTGATTTCCAAAAAGCAGGGGCTTGCAAAGAGTCTGCACCATAATTTTGTATTTTAGAGGAGAGGAACTGCACATTTGGCATCAGATACTGAACATCAACCATTTGTATCGCTAGAGTTTGTTACATGTCAGAACATGCTTTGGCAAGAAGAGAGATACTCATTGATTTTTTTTCCCTAATACGGTCTACCAGGGAGGTCTTCCTTGGGGGATCCTTGGTAAAGGTAGCTGCTCACTACCTGGAAATGAAAAGAGCAAAATCGGTAATGCCCATGGCAAGCGTGCAAACATAGGCAAATCTCAGTAATGACTTCTGAAATAGTCCCACATGTGGTGAGTTTTCTTAAAATTAAACGAAAATATATATGGTGGGCGGCCAGGGTGGGGGGATTTTGCTCATGAGACCTGGTTTCAGAGGAGAAATCTCTGTGGCTGATCCTCAAACTCATGCTGTTGACCCATCTTCTATCCTGAAAAATCCTGTATTGATGGTTAAGAACCAGTGAAGGGATCAAGCATCAGAGGCTGAGCGGAGAGTGGTTCAACCTTTTGACCAATAAACAACTAAATGGATGTAAGGAAGGTGCCTCTTAAATGGGGAGAGGGAAAGTACTATTTGGAGAAATCCTAAATGTATGGGCTCATAAAAGCACCTCCTGGCCTACCCTCCTTCTGCCAGCCACACTGGCAAGAGCTCTTGTCAGAATCATGGGTGGCTGGCAGCAAAAAGTGTCATTGGCCCGAAGAATTCTAGGATCTGGACAGTGCTTTTATGATAACATCTTTCAACCCAAACTTGTCTTTGCCCTTGTCTGGTCTCATAGGCTTTGGGCTCTGGGCTTATATTAATTTGCAAGGCTGTTCTAGAACTGTCAAGAAGGACCCAAAGATGGATGGTTTTGAAGTAGGAGAGGGGGGAGAATGTGATACACAGATGAGGGAGGGACATAATACTGCATGGAATGGGCTTGGCACTTAATTTCAAAAACAACAGTGATCAACAGCTTTTAGCTCAGCTGACTGCAGACAAACACAACACACAGTGGACTACAGCATTTGTTCACTGGGGTACAGAAGAGCTTTCTCAACCGGCTCCTCTTGTTCCAAACCATCCTTCACATTCTCCTGCCTGGGTCCTGGGTTACTGGATAAAGGGCATCCGCTCCTTGTTCTCGCTATCTCCCTCGTGGTCCTCCTCCTCTTCTCCCGCCTCGCTGGTCTCTGTGCTATCGTTGGCCATCTGCAGTGCAACAGAGGACGTTTTAGAGGGTCTGCAGTCTGTCTCTTACCTTCTTCAAGCATCTGAGGAAGCCCCTTGGGAAGGACTTCTTTGAGGGCTAAGAGTTAGGATTGCTTTCTTCCCAGGAAAGCATTGTGGTGCTGGCCGTCTTATGTTGGGTGTCCTAAGAAGCAGACTCTGAGATAAGGATTTGAGTGCAAATATTTGGAATTTGGGAGATGATGCCAGGAAGCACAAGTAGGGAGGGAGGACATGAGGCAGAAAAGGCAAGGAAGTCAGTACAGTGTGTGTTAATAAGTAGGCTCCTACTGTGGGCAACTGGGGCTCAGTCATGCCAGGGACCACTGGGAGCCCATGAGGGACACACCTCACAGTTGTCCCACATGAGGAGGTAAGAAGACAAGGAATGGCTACTCTGGCATCTCTGGCAGTTATGTACATACTGGCCAAAAATGCCCCTGTGCCTGGGGGCTCTCAGACAGAGGGGTCAGGTGCTGGGGGACATGGGGGCACTCAGAGCATCCACTGCACAGACTGGCCAGGGTTCAGATCTTGGTGCTGTCACTTCCTAAGAGCCAGAACAATAATGCTAACACACGTGTGTTTGTCTACTTTGTTGTCTACATCCCCCCATTGGAATGTCATTTCTATGAAGACGCGGACTTTGGCTCTAGCCAAAGTCTCATAAGAGCCCTCCTGAGATTCAGGAACAAGGGCCATAGCATACGGCAAGCCAGGCCCTGAGCTGTTAACACTCAGAATTGGGCTTTTCAGCTCCTGCTCTGATAAGAATCCCCTGTGGTCAAACAGGCCTTCCTAAAGCCTGAGGGCCCAGCGGGACCTCATGTGTTATGGAGACAGGCGGGAAGATGATGCCAGCCATCCTGCTTAAAAGCAACAAACTGTCCTTTCCCTTTTAGCCTGCATCCCACTTTTGTGACTAATCGCTCATTTGCACCATCATTTGATTACGCGGGTCTGCTGCGCGAGCCAGAACTGCTTGTATTTCCCCCTACCCGACCTGTGCCCGCACCTGATAGACCCTCCTGTGTTGAACTGAACGGACCCTCTGCTTTTGACTCACCAGTGGAGTCGGGGTCTTCTCTACATCCAGAATTAATTTGCCGATGTTCCCCCGGTCGTGGATCCGCTGCATGGCCTCCTTCACCTGAGAGGAGAAAAAGGGAAGCGCTGGTTGGGTGAGGAGTCGCCCAGGTGGAGAAGCCAAACCATTCGCCGCCCACCTGGGGGCGCTGTGGTTCAAGGTTAGCCGCTAAGCCAGCGATGGTTTGGGACACTGGGTGCAAATAAATTCTGGTTGTGTCACTCACGCACTCCGAGCTTGTGCAAGCAACTTGGCCTTCTGGGTCTAAGAAATGAAAGTGATAGTTCCTGAAATAAGAAGACGAAATTTTCTTAAAAAACAAAAGTCGGGGATGGGGTGAGGTGGGGAGGAGAGTACTGTGAAGTTCTAAAAGACACAGGGCGCATCAGCCAGAGTAAATTTTGACCAGTAAAATTATTTTTTTTCAGAGTCAGTTGTGCCCTGCTTACCAAAATGGTACATAACTCTGATTCATAGTTTAATTAAAATGACCCGTTGCCTAGGCTAAACTATATTCAGGAAAATTCCCTTCGGTGACTCCTGGTTTTGGGGTGGAAATTTTGTTTCCACCTACGTAGAGATTTCTCCAGAACTAGTATTCTCCCCAGAGAAGAAGACCTAGTTTTCCTTTAAATGATGGGGGCTTGTCAGATCAAGCCCCTCTAAAAAAAGCAAGCATGTGCCCTCGTCTGATTTATGCTTGAGCATTTCATTCTGTGGCTGTGCGGAGAATGAACTGTAGGGGGCGCTATGAGGAGAAAATGAGATAAGGAAAGGGTAACACTACCAGACACTTGGCATGAATAGGTCCTCCACATCTCTTAGTGAAATCTAAATGGAAATACAACATCTCTTAATTTAAAAAAATGTTATAAGAGATGTAGCCTAAATATTTTTTCTAAAGTCTCAGATTTTAAAATATTTTTGTTCACTCATTCGGTCCACAAAATATTCTTAAATGTCCTTACAGGCTAGGCGCCATGGTTTTTTTGTTTTGTTTTGTTTTGTTGTTTTGTTTAATTTAAGTAAGGTAGGATGTCTGTCTTGGAGGAACTCAATCTGGGGCTGATGGAGTAGTGTTTGCTTAAAAAACCAAAGCTGTCTTCTCATTTGGATAAAAACTTGACAGAGACATTAAAATGTGCATACTCTAATTGCTTTTCTGGGACTTATCCTAAAGACATAATTCAAATTGTGGGGGAAAAAACTTACCATACCAAAGATACTCAATCACAGCATTGCTTTTAATGGCAAAACACTGAAGCAAGTTATATATCACAGAATAAGGGAATGGTTAAGAAAACCATGGGTCTTACATTTATGTATGGAATAGAAATATTATGTTGCGATTAAGCTGCTAATTATAAAGAATGTACAGCAGGATTAAAAGCCTTTATAATATTGCTAACCGAGAAAACTGAGATGCATATTTTTATTTACATCCCCATAAAAATATGGACATCCTAAAATAAGTAGAAAGGGATTTGGATATATGATAAAACATTAGGTAGGGGAAATTAGTGCCTTTTAACTCCAAACATTGCCATTTGGTTATCAAATTCAAATCAGTATTTAATATAAGTTAAATGCATCTTTAAATGTAGTCTTTGGGAAACCTAGCATTGGTTAGCATCAGCCTCTTTTATAGACTGATAGTGTCATATGATTGCTAAATTTCCTGACCCTACTACATATGCCAGTATATTTCTTTTATTTCTGTGATGAACATTGCTTTTCAAAATGCTGTTATGTCTGGTTATAACAACTCTTTACTGAGAATGTTTAAATATCATGGCAGACAGCTTCCAAAATGGCTCCCAACCGTCCTTTCCTCCAGACACTTACACCCATGTATAATCCCCTTCCCTTGAATGTGGGCTGGACCTCCTAACTTGCTTCTGACCAGCAGAATATAGCAAAAGTGATGGGATGTCACCTCCAAGATTAGGTTATAAAAGACAGATTTCTGTCTGGTAGTCTCTCTCTGACTCTTCTTGCTTTCTTCCTCTGATGACACAAACTGCCTTGTTGTGCACTGCCCTGTGGAGAGGCCCCCATGGCAAGGAACTGAGGGAGACCTCCCAGCAACAGCCAGTAAGGAAGCAACACCCTCAGTCCAAAAGCCCATGAGGAACTAGATTCTTCCAGCAATCAATGGGAGAGCTCAGAAGCAGATCCTTCCCCAGTTAAGTCTAGTAATGAGACTGTATCCCTAGCTGACACCTTGACTGAAGCCTTGGGAGATCCTAAGCCAAAGGACCCAGCTAAACCATGCCCAGATTCCTCACCCACATAAAGTGTGATCATAAGTGTTGTTTCAAGCCTCTAAGTTTTGGGGCTAATTTGTTATGCAGCAATAAATAAGCAACCTTCTTATCTTTCCTACGTAATTCTTATCTTGCAAGATCTATATTATACCCATTTTACAGGTAAGTACCTTGATGCTCAAAGATATAAGCAATTTGTCCAAAGATTATGTGGCTATCAGTGACAGAATCGTGGCTCAAACTCATGTTTGTCATACTTCAAAACCAATGCTTTTTCCCAATTCCACCCAGACTGTGTTTAATTTAATTCTCAAAGGCAGAGGAAGGTGGTAGGTAATGTCTCACATAATGACTTCCCAGAATTCAGTTGTTTATTACCCTGGCAAGTCATTCAGCACCTGGTAACTCCTTGGAGATTCAGAACAATTTTTGTGCTCTTCTCCAATAAGACAGAGCCTAGGGAAACTGAAAAGCTGTTTTCCTACCAGTTAAAGCGTATTGTGATACTAGAAAAAAGCCCCCTGAATGGCTGGCTCTAATCTGCATATTTTGGGGAACTTTCTTTTCTTTTCTTCCTTTCTTCCTTCCTTTCTTTCTTTCTTTATCTTATTTATTTGAGAGAGAGAGCGTGTGCACAGAAGTGGGGGGCAGAGGGAGAGAGAGAAACTCAAACAGACTCTGAGTGTGGAGCCCAACATGGGGCTCAGTCCCAGGACCCTGAGATCATGACCTGAGCCGAAACCAAGAGTCAGACGCTTAACCGACTGGGCCACCCAGGGACCCCTGCGAAATGAACTGACCCCTTGAAGTTCCTTATGTGGGGGACAGTGAAAGGGTTAGGAGTCTTTCCAAGAGGTGACTGAAGTAGTCTGATCCCCAGCCATACTGTCTGAGTTTACATCTTCTTATGCTGCTCCTGGAGATGTGAAAGAGTCCTTTTGATGACAGCTTAGAAGGAAAGAATTACCATTTTTTTTTAGCAATTCTTTACATGTACAGTATGAAGGCATTGCTTAATGTATGAGGCACATACATTGGCTTTTTATCTGCACACCGCGGGTTCACAGAAGAGGAATCTAAAGGTGAAAATCGGACTCTGTCCCCGGTCACCATCTGAAAGGTGGGTAGAACCACTTGGGAGCTGAGAGAGCGGTTTCCCCTTTTCAGGACTCTGGACAAAAGCCAGGACAGGGCTCTGCCATCTGTACTCCAAAACTGCCCTCAAATAACCCCATAAGGTGGAGTCTGCAGAAAGAGACCTTGCTCCCAAATTACCAGTTTATAAACTGAGGTACCTCAGTAGGTGAGAGTGCCCAAAAGCTGGTGGTGAGAACCTCCAAAAAGATACTTGTTCTCTCTTGGGGCTAGCATTTTTCTAAGATACACTTGCGCTTAAAACCTTTTTCCATCGCGGGCACCTGCGTGGCTCAGTCGTTAAGCATCTGCCTTAGGCTCAGGTCATGATCCCAGGGTCCTGGGATGGAGCCCCGCATCGGGCTCCCTGCTCAGCGGGAAGCCTGCTTCTCCCTCTCCCACTCCCCCTGCTTGTGTTCCCTGTCTTGCTGTGTCTCTCTTTGTCAAATAAATAAATAAAATCTTTAAAAAACATACAAACAAAACCTTTTCCCATCGCACTCGAGAAAAGCCTAGCAGACCTGCACTGCCTCGTGCAGGAGCCATGAGTCACATGGGGCACTGAGCCCTTGAACAGGGGCCAGCACAGACTTCAGTGTGCTGTGAGTGTAAACCACCTGGCCGACTGCAAAGGCTTAATAAGACAGAATATACACCGTCTCATTCAGAATTGTTGACATCCATTGCACGTTGTGAGGATAACATGTTAAATATTCTAGGTTAAGTAAAACATATTACTAAAGTGAATTTTGCCCACGTTTTACTTTTCTGAATATGGCTACAACAAAACTGAAACTTTGAGCATGGCTCACGTTAGACTTCTGCTGGACAGCACGGGACTTGTTCTTCAGGAGCTGATGTCGGTCACTCTTTCTGGCTTCACTACTTTCTTTACACTTCCTCTGCTCCGGCCACTGGAGACTTATCTGAAGCTCACTGGGCTTCTCAGCTTTATGCCTCTGTATAGATCAGGTTCCTTCCCGGAGTGTGAAGTGCGCTGGTCCTGGAGCTAACTCACATTTGTCCTGTGGCTGGTTTAGATGCGAACCCTTCTAGGAAGCTGCTCTGCACCTCCCACCCCTGCCCCTCACACTTGGGGTCAAGTCTCCTTTGGGCTCCCTTGGCACCTTGGGCCAGCTAGTAATGTCACACTTACCCCACAGCTTAGAACTTAGCTGCTCTTCTCTACAGTACAACTCTCTGGACCGGCACCGTGCAGTAGAAATAGGAAGTGAGCTACAGATGTCCTAAAATTTCTCTAGTTACTCCCATTAACAAATGTAGAAAGAAACTGGTGAAATTAATTTTCATAATATATTTTCTTTAATCAGATCTATCCAAAATCTTATCACTTTAATATATACTCAACACAATAAAGTCTTAATGAGATATTTTATATTCCTTTTTTTTTCCCTTTTGTACTACGTGTTTGGAATCCAGGGTATACTTGGTACTTACATGTTTCAATTCAGATGAGCCACTCTTCAAGTGCCCAGTGGCTGCACGTGGCTCACATCTACCATATTGGAGAGGGCAGCTCCAGATGGTGGGACAGTGGCACCAGCCTCAGGGACCCCAGTGCATAGGAGTATTTAGCATATGATGGCCTCCAGGATGAATGAATGAATGAATGAATGAATAAGCAAGTGGGTATGTGGAGAA